AAATAAAAAACATTTGGGGCAACCTCATTTTTCAAATTATATTTCTATTAGAAAAGAAAAAGGCTCTTGAGATCAACTGGAATAAATTTGAAATAATTTTTAATTAACAGATACTTTTGCAGATATTTTTAATGCGATTACTAAGAATATTTGTCGCCCTTTTCTTCAAACAGACAACTTCGGCTAATATTCAAATTTCTCACTTTTGTATATTTCGTATTGAAGCTTCAGAAAAGCATTTCATTTAGAGTATTCATGTTTATTAAAATTTTCCTTTACATTTACTGTACACTTTAATATTAAACAGTGTCTGTACAACTTAAAATTATTCCAGACTTCTCTTCAACGAACACCGGTAGAATATCCGAGACTATATTATGTTATTCAAGTATTTTTAAGCAAAACTTAAAAAAGTGTGACAAAAAATTAAGTGCATTGATTCGTACTTAGTATTGTACATACGAAATAATAGAAAAAAAATACAAAGTGTGAACTTTTCAAATGGGCTACAAAAAAATAGGTTTTTTCCCTGGAATTTTAACTTAAAGAGCATACTGGCATGTAGTGTCATAGTATGATGAATACCATTTTTAGCAATAACTTTAAAAATAAATGAGGTGAAGATAGAGCAAAATAATATCTAAATACATAAATTCACAACAGATTAGTGAACCAAAACCACTGTTTCCCAAGATAGAAGGTATATTTTTCAAATTTATCACATTTGCTCAAAAAAACTTTTAATTGTGCAAGTATTTGCAAGTACCTAAATACAAACTATTGGAGTTATTTTTATTTTCAAAAGTAGGTAGATCCAAATAATGTAAAAACTTATCCTTTCATAAAATAATCTAAAGTATTTTACATCGAACTGATTTCGAATATAATGCAGATAACAAGGTTATATACCATTTATTAATAATTGTTTTAAAGATATCTTGAATAAAATATTTAACATATATGTACCTTAAAATTTCTTTCACGAACATTTATTTAAAAAATAATTGTTGTATTTTTAATTGCCATTAATTTAATTGATGTAATTTTACATCAATTGTAAACCCTATGAGTGCAACCATTTATTTCCTTGTGAATAAAAATAAACTGTTGGCGCTTTGGTCTTTAATAAGTACTTGAGGGATAACGAATTTATACTTATAAAAGTGTCGAGTGATTTTCTCTAAGTGATTTCCCGAATGATTTATGACATAAAGCGTTGTCGTATACAAGTAGTACAAAATTAATTAACTGTCAACTTTGGGCATGCTGCATCAGCAGATATATTAATTATTAAATTTGTGCTTGAAAATAGAATGTCATTGTAGAACTCAATTTTTTATAGTTTTAACAAATGTACATAGCTACTTTTTCGGACTTTAGAAAAGAACCTGATTTTTCTGGAAAACTGTTAAATATAAGTATGGACAACCTTATACCAGTCGAAAGGGCATTCAATTTTGCATTCAGCCATGACAATTAATATGGGTCATTATAACGAGCGTTCAAATAAAAACGTGGTCAAGTTGGTTCTGAAAATTTGGACGTAGGGCGTAGCGTATAGTAAATGAACTTAAACGTCATCTGTCAAAGCGCTATATCGCCGCTATCAATTTGAATATTTTCGTTTTAAAAAGCGTTTAAAATGGTGTTGTTAATGTTTTTCGTGAAACGGGCAGTGTAACAAGAAAAGAAGGAAGCGGCCGACCTAAAAAGCGGACTGAAGAATTAAAAGAAAATGTCCAACAAATAATGGAAAATGCGCCAAGAATTTCTGTACGTGTTTTATCACAAATGGTGGGAGTATCAGTCGGTACCTGACACACAGTGTTAAAAAAAGATTTGCGTTTGTTCTCCTATCGTTTAACTTGTCAGCAAGAACTTCATGAAGTTGATTTTCCGCGACGGGCTATATTTTGTGAATGGTTTTTAAACAACTACGGTGAACTTCATAATATCACCTTTTTTTCTGATGAAGCCTGTTTTCATTTAAGTTGTTACGTAAACTCACAGAATATGAGAATGCGGTCTTCTGAAAAACCAGATAACTTTTTTGTCGAGGGCCCTCTACACGCTCAAAAAATGCTCTCAATCGAAGGAGGATTTATGGACCTATTTTTTTTAATGGTACTCTTACTGCGCAAAGGTATAGAGAAGAAATTATCGCTCCTTTTGTTAACCAGCTGGAAGAAAACGAAATTACAAACTTTTACTTTCAACAAGATGGCGCAAGGGCACATACGGCAGGCGAGACGATGAATATGTTGAGGGAAGTTTTCCAAAATCGACTAATAAGTCTCAATGCTGAACATGAATTTCCACCGAGGTCATGTGATATTACGCCGTGTGATTTCTTTTTGTGGCCTTACCTTAAAAACACTATTTTTGAACTGCCTATTCCTGATTTAAACCATCTGCAGGCTCGACTTATAGACAAGATTCGTGAAATTAACAATACCCCGAGCATCTTAGAAAATGTCTTTAATTCTTTGAGGAACAGGTGTGAAAAGTGCTTGGAACAAGGAGGGGGACACTTTCAGCAGCTGCTTTAATTTATTGTTACAACAAGGAGCAGCTTCTTTAATTGTTTGTTATTGTTATCACGATTATTCTTTAAAATAAAGTTATATAGTCATTAACGTTATTGAAACTGACAGGTGCTATACAGCTCGTTGAGAAATAAGGTTAAGTTGGTCGCTATAAGCTACTCCCTACGTCCAATGTGTAAGAGCCAACTTCGACCACGTTTTTATTTGAACGCTCGTTATTTGAAAAAAAAAGTTTTTCAACTCGTAAGATTATTAAATGTAAGTCTCAGTATTTCCGAGTCTCAATAACGCTTACACTCATACATGACAAGATATAGAAATTTATGGCAAAACGAACTGTGAAAACCGCAGGTTTCTAACTCTTACGATTTAGATGCTATCTAGCCTCATTTAGAGAGCTGAAATAGTGATTTTTTTCAAAAACAACTGATTAACTCGAAAACGGTAAGTTTTAAACATCATGTACATTTAATAAACTACTTAATATTAACCAATGAATTCAAAAATGCAATAATATTCCATTTAAAATAACAAAGTTATGTAGCGCCCATGCGAAATGGAACACCCTGTAAAGCTAAAAATATTGTCTTTACATGGCCCACATGATTCCAAGCAACTTTTATTAAAAACATTTTTTTAAATTTTGCAGTTACAGAGATACAGAAGAATCCCTCTTAGGTATATATGATAATTTTACTCATAACAATATGTTATGAAAAACAGGATATTGCTTTTATCTAAATGGGTGTTTTTGAAAATAAATAGATAATAAACACAATGAAATTTCAGTGATATTTTACTAATTTATTTTACAGTGTAATTTTAAATGTGGGTAAATATGCCAAAATCCATAAATCCATGCCAAATCATGAGTCACCGGACCACTTTTAATTTTCCTGATTTTTTGGCATTATTTAGAACCCATTTAGACTAGATATCATGATTTTTTTCAAATTTTATAAATATAAAAATATAATATAAATAATACATTTTTAGTTTTTTGATTGTTAAACAAAAATGTGCTTTTTGACAAAGAGATTCTAGAATGGGATTGTTTGTATTCGATTTTTTTTTGTTTGTCATAGAATGAGCCATATACTATAATAATTTTCTTTTTATACCTGTAAATATTGTTTAAATAGAACTAAATTGCTTAGAAATAATTTAGTGACAGATGGTGTACAATATAGAGCCTAACCCTTTAGTGTTCGTTCGTAATTTTAAACTAGACTAGACTAGATTGTAAATTGCATATGCGTTTGTGGAAAATCAAACACACATAATTGATATTAATTAGACTAATCAGTTCCCATCCCATTTATTTGAAAAATATTCATATTTTTAATAATAAAACTAACTATCCTGTGAAGCATTTTCCCATAGTGAATATTCGGCATGTAGCAATTATTTTAATTGTTAAATAATAACTGAAATTGCCAAATAATATTCATGTTCGTTTTAAACAAACTACATATAAATATTCATATAGGAAAATATAAATAATTGAAATAATTGGGCGAGTTTAATATTTCAGAATAGCGCATGTCGAATCGGGCCTACGTCGAATTTTATGGGCTTAAAATTAAGTAAAGCCTAAATTTGTGTATTTGTAGAGGTCGAACATCATTTTGTTTATTACAAAAGAAAAAAATGCCCTTTTTTTCAATTTTCGCTTATATCTCCGAAAATAAGCCTCTAATCTAAAAAAAAATTTGCGAGCTTTCGCAAAAGCCTGTCCTTGTAGCAAATTTCCTCAGGAACAAAATCGATAAGTATACTTCATGTCGATTAGAGGCTTATTTTCGGAGATAAGGCGAAAAACTGAAAAAAGAGCATTTTTTTTTTGTTATAAACAATATGATGCTCGACCTCTACAAATACATAAATTTAGGCTTTTAATCTGTGTATTTTTTACTTAATTTTAAGCACATAAACTTCGACGTAGGCCAAATTATTGAAAAAAAAACTAATTCGCCCCGACTACTAGTGCAATTTTCGATATAAGTGGTTTTCTGTCGATTTTTCGTATTTCTCCAGTAATTTTTCTCAAATCACTGAGTTACAGAGGGCCAGGAAAACTAACTAGTGTTCAGCGCATTACAATACATATAAATACATTTTTTCAAAACATTGCTGATGCCCATTAATCCGCTTTTCCACGATTTTTCGGGATTTTCAGTCATTTTTAGTGATTTACTCAAATCCTGTGGACGTTGGGGTAGAATTAATAACGGTTTTGAATTCAGTGCATCAAAAAACATATAGATAGCTTAGTGCGGTCTCCCAGTCCGCCCATTTTTAAAATTTTTGTACCTGTGTTATTTGCCAACTGTATGCAGGGCACCTAGAATTCCTCTCTGTGAACTATGGGACTTTAATAAACGAAATATGCATGCAATTCAATAACATGTACACGTAAAAGCAGCTGGAATGTGGAATGTTAGTTATACTTACTGCATTCGGTTTCATCGGACCCGTCGATACAGTCAATAGTTTTATCACAGCGGTAGTGTGGTGGAATACAATATGTTTTGTTCCACATATATTGACGACATGTCAGCTGCCCAGGCTCGCAATCGGGTGGAGCTGCAAAAAAATGATGTATTACTATATATACAACACATAAACTGTATTCATATTCATATACGTCTTGAAATCGAGAGAAATTAATATACGGTGCTTGAGAATGAAATATGATGGAAGTATTTTCTGACTAATGAGAATAGCTAATATAAGATTATTTATTTATATAAACAACACATAAAGTTTTGGCGCAAGGGGTTGTTTATTTAAAAGATATTAAATATTTAATTTTCCTTTTCCTTGAGAGGTTGAGAGAGGCTAGCCGAGTCGCTGCTTCAACCTGCAGTCTTGCAATATTTATCAGGTTATAAAAATATATACATCTACAAAATAACTATCAAATAAATAGAAAACCGAGTTTGTTTAATGTACTATGCTTTTTAGATAACGCCAGATTTATTATTTCCCACTATTAATTATTAAAATATTACATTTTACGTGATTCGTTTTATAATCGATCGGAACGCGCGTTGTAATAGGTAATAACTCTCAACAGGAATGTGTTCGTAATGATTTATAATCAAAGTCAGTTAGTTAACACAGCGCTAAAAAATGTTTTAGCCGGATGATTTGGGATTAAACGCTCCAACAGCGGACCATTCAATAACGGTGTTATTAATCATGAATATATAAATCACTTGCATCGACGGTTTTGCTAATATAATTTTGTTTATGTAGGTACTAATCGGGAGCAGGTACAAGGCTGTTGATTGCAGATACAGCCAATTTTCATTTTTTTTACCGCTGATTTACATTTATATTAAAAAATATAGCAAGATGTTTATCAAAATTCAAATTTACCGCCCTTGTAAAGGCGGTAAAGTAGTTGTCAGTTTAAAAATTTCAATAAGTTGCTTTCAATAGTTTATTGAGAAAAAAATGTTAAAAAAACATGTTTATTTTTGTCAGTATAAAAATTTTTTTTCCGAATTTCAATAACTCTGAACTGTCAGCTGTCACACTGTCTTTTTTTTCGTTCGCAACACTTTACCTTAGAGATGGCGCAAATTCAAATCTTGAGTGCATTTTGGAACACTCACGAGCACTCATTATTATTATAGGCATCTTTACTTTTTTATTTTTTGTTATTTATAACAAAGCAGATCTATGATTTCTATAGAAAGCACAGTGATATTGTCTAGTTTTTTCCTCATTTGCCGATATTGACTATCGGTTTGGTTGCATTAAGGTTTTTATTATGAGATTTTATAAAATCGTCATGAGTTTGTCGTTTGTTCTTTTTAAACTCTTGTGCATTGCGAGATTTGAAAGACTTCAGAACTAAAGTATTATCTGCTGATGGGTGGGCCATTACGTAGTCTTGAAACTTTAAGTTCTCTCGCATATTTCGAACGTCGCTGGTGAACCAACGAATTTCATGTCGGTTAGAGGAGTGAACCCATTTCTACTTTGCAGGAAAACATTATTGATAGCCTGCGATGTAATATTAATAGAATATTCGAATCATTCTTTAATATCAATAATTGAATTATACAGGGTGTCAGAAAGATGGGTCAACACTAAGCTGGAGATGCTAGACACCAAAATATTATGTTTGAGCTTATCATGCCTTATACGAATGTTTTTGAAATAAATTTCTCAATAATTGAGAAAGTTTTAATAGCATGACTCTGAAAATTGGTAGTATTGGGTTTTTTCTAATCTAAACAATTGTCGTTCCTTGTGCAAGTTAGAGTTGTATAAGAGACAAACCAAAAGAATATAAAATTTTTACCAACATATTGACTTTTTATGTTCAAAATATACATAAAAATCGCCAGATACAAGAACTACTTTATTAATTGAGAACATTTAAAACTAGGGAAGGGATTTCAAGAATATATCGACAAAGTTTATTGCTTTCACAAAATAAAGTAGGCAGAAAGTTAAAGGATTAAAAAATCCAAAATCTTTGGGTGATTTTCAAAAGATTTGACGAAAAATGATCATAGAGCGATTAAAAGAAAAACAAATTGAAGCTTGAAGTTTCTAGTTTCGGGATCTGAAAGTTAACAATTTTTGTCGTTGATTACTTTTAAGAAATCCAGCAAAAAAAAATTTCAAACTTTTTGCTTCTGTTTCAAAAATTCTACGGGTTTCAATACAATATTCAAAAAGTTCAAAGCAAGCATGAGCTTTTTGGTTTTAATAATAATTAATTACGTACCTATTTAATGATTTTCGCTAAACTTGAGATAAATTTACAAATAATTAATATGCTAAGAATATTTTCGTTTTTTTTTAACCTGAAGTATCCCAAAGGAACCCTCAAAAATTCAAACTGCTGCGATTTTTCGTTCATTGTCATCCGAATTAAAGGATGTTTTCCATCTTTCATTAATTTTTTTAATTGAAAACGTTTTTTTTACAAAAATCCATTTTTTTTTCATGAAACAATATTAAATATCGAAAAAAGTTAATATTATTTGAAGATTTTTCTTTAGACGTTTTGGATATTGAATTGTGGCGTTGATTATGTTGATTCATTTTTTAACACCATGTAGTCTAAATTTCACACCGACGGATTTCTTTCTGTGGGAATAGTTGTAAATCCTTGAGGTTTTCCCTATTCTACTTGGATATTTAAAATTTAAAATGGAATTCCGTAAAACTACATGATATTTAAATATATATGAACAGCGCTCACACAACAGACATGTCTGCAAGCCATATGCCTAAAATCTCTTACTTTATTCACGTGTTGCATTTCGCATGTAAGAGACTGTCTACTTCTCTGCGATTTTCCGGTTAAGATTACGGAATTGTTATGCTCGTACGTACAGAATTTATTTAGTGGAAAATGTAGCTATCTGACAGAAAAAAAATTGTGTTAAATTTTATACAAAATTTAAAACAATTCCTACATTTTATGATCGGCACCTTCGCCATAATATACACAAAAGTAAAATATTTGCCATGTCATTATTAAAACATAAAAACAAGAGCAATATAACGTTTATAATGTTTACTTTATTAACATTAAATTTTTGCAAAGTACAAATAGAATTTTTATTATTGTTTTGGTATCTTCTGTCACTCGGAATATGTTTTAATTTTCACAGATGTACTATTTTTATTTTCCGTTTTATATATGTTTCAAATAATTTAGTCTTCTTTCGATTTAGATGGATTTTTGCACTGATAGCATCAAATGAGGAACAATTTTTTCACAAGATCATATCATCATGAAAAATAATTTTTAGACAAAATCTGAATAATGAAGAAAATATACCTATATTGGAAGAAAACAAGCAACATTAAAATTTAAATTATTATAGAGCACTGCTTGAATTATTGCACTGTCATGAGCAATTTTTTTTGTGTAAAGGATTATGTATTTATACCTTGTAGGAAATTATTAAATTTACTGAGGTCAACAAGTGTATGAATCAATAAAACAGGTACTCGACAAATACATTATTATTTCTAGGAAGTACAAATAACATTTTTAACATTAGCTTGACTGAGACATTATATACTACGGTATATTTTGCGACAAGAGATAAAAATGCCATTTAATTCAAAATGAATTATAAATACAGCAAATTATTACTTATTTTTTAAATTATTATGCATTCTATTCAAAACTGCCTTTGTCACGATATAATGACATTTGTCAAGTAAAATGTTATGACTGTTTCAGTTTTTTAATGTTTTTAGGCTTGTACAAAATATGGTAGGTTGACATTAAGTTAATTAATAACCTGGTTCATAAATATTTAATTAGCTAATGTTTTAATTAAGTAAATAATATATTTGACATTTTCGTTTCAAGAGATGGAAATAAATGTAACTTTCGTATCAACCAAGCCATGAGAAAATTCTTACTTTTGCATAATATGTATGTATTAGTAAAAAAAATACTTTCCATAACTTCATATTTTAAGTAATTGTTCCTTTCTGTCTTGATTTGATCGACAAAATACCATTTATAGTCTTATTACAGAAATAACTACTTATGCTAACTTTATTGCCTAACAAAAACTATAATTTGTAAAAAAATAACATGAAACATGTTCTTCACAGACTTCACAATTGTACGAGTACCTATATAATATTACATACTAACAATTTTGGAATATTTAAGAATATTTTTCAGAAGGTTCACTTCTGTAATATAACTTCTTTTATTTGCAGCGAAAGCAAATATATCTGATTCTTTAGTGGCACTACTGCGCTTATTTGCAGTCTTTGGACAGGATGATATTTCAACAGTAATTTCAACTCTATCTAACTTTATATCTAACTTCAACTTTGTTCTTGAAATAGTTTAATTTAAGTTACATTACTTTCTTTAATTTTCATTCGTTCTAAGACAACCGTTGCAATACAGGTAAATTTAATTATTTTCCATCTCAAACAAACTCAATGTCAGATAGATGTAATAGGCAACTAGGTAGCTATATTTCAACTAAATTTGACAAACAAAATGCAGTGTATCACAAAAATTTTATTGGTACTAGAATAAACATGGTGTTTTCACTTTTTATCTTGATAACTTTCTAAATAGATGAAAAAACTAATTTTGTCACGGCAATCGTTTCAATTGCCTACTGAAACAAAATACTGGGTCAACTAAACAGGTTTTTGAACTTTTTACACTATCTCGAAAACTGCGAAGAAATTCAAAAAACGGATAGAGAGAAAAAAGGTTAGGATGGGCCACAAAAAGAAATTATGAAGATTTTCGCTCAGCTAGCAAATAAGTCTCGATCAAATCAAATGATCTAGTTATTAAAGTTAAATAAGTTAATTTCCTTTTAACTAGTTTATTTGGTTTGCTGGTAACTGATGAAGGCACATTACTATTAAAATTATCACGTTCTTATTTATTTCAGTGCATTTGTAGGAATAATACTTTATTTAATATTAATCATTCATAAAGTTTAAATTTGAAATGTGTAAGATTTACTTATCGTTTATTTAATTGAAACTAACTTCTATGTCGCGTATAAATGTAGTCATTACTATAATATTTGAGGTGTACTGTGAGGTTAGTTTAAAAAATAGTTTATGTAGAACATATTCATTTTAGGATATAATAATGTTAATTAAAATAAAATTTTTTGATTACCGAAAAAGAAAAAACATGGTAAAACTGTTCAAATTAAAATATAAAACAACAAATAATTCCGCATTTTTTCCGCCTACGTAATTTATCCTCTGACATAAACAAGCAGCCTTTCAGTCATACATTTATTTCACGCTGTGTTATTTTTAAATTGGTAAATATTGGATTGCCTCCATATACCAGTACTCAAAGCCAACATAATCCCATTTATTCCAATACGTTTCTAAAAATCTGCATTGCAGCTTTTTATGTATCCTCCCAATATTAAAAACATAAATACAATACCTGCGTCAGGTAAATTGAACTTCATTTCATGTTTATTTTTTTACTGAAAATTTTAGCTCTGCAGATATTACACAAAAACAGATAAATGTTTACTCATTGTGTATTTTTCCAGAAATATATCAGTAAATTTTTATTTTTACCTTTTATTATATATATATATTAATGTTCTATGAGTATCATCTACCTATCAATTAATACTTGTAAAAATTACAGAAGACACTTTTTTAATTAACCAAATAAACGCCAATAACTTTAAAAAATTATTTGACAAATCCAATAAAAAATTTTTAAAGACGATTTGGTTATAAAATCAATTAATTAAGTGTAGAAAATCTGAATTAAATACACAGGGTGGTCCAGATTTGAAGGTGGAAACTTCGCCAGTTTATAGAACAAATTATTCCAAACAAAAATTTATAGATACAGGGTGTTGAAATTAGAACAAACATGGCCTTCTGATTTACGTAAATAGAATTAAAGACTCGTTGAGTTGACTTTTACAAATATGTTAATTAGACCAAGGCGGATCTGTCGAAATATCCTACTTCTTGGATGTAAGAGGGGGCAAACTAATTTTTGCCGGAATACCTTCAGTACAACTCACATAATATATGTGTAGATCCCTAGATCTGGGCGAGGTCCGGAACATTTTCAAAATTGCAAAAATGTTTAAAAAATTTTAAAAATACCTATTTTATCTGAGTTTTTTACTTATATCTTGAAACCTATGCATTTTGGAAGAATATTGAAGTGGAAAAAGAGTTTTAGAATAGAATTTTGCATAATATATTGTAAGTTAAAAATGTTTAAATGTATTACCAATGTTGCAAAATAGCAATAATTGATGAAAAATTGCCAAAATACTCAAGTTTTTTTGATAATTTTTTAAAAATATTTTAATTGTTCCGAGGGCATTCTAATTTTGGTAAAAAATAACTTTAGAGTATAATAAAATAACACCAAATTTAATTAAAATCGGTTCTATAGTTTTCGCAAAATAATTTTTTGAAGAAAATTTTGAAAAGAAATTTTCGAATTTTCAAAATTTAGCACAGCCTCAAATAAGGCATCTAAATACTTGAAAGTTTTTTCACATAGAAAAGACCGCTCAACCTTTCAAATGGTTTTTGAAAAATTGAAATCGGTTGATTAGGACGGAAACAGTAAATTTTTAAAGTTAACACTCTTTTTTTTATTTTTAAACAATTAGATTACATTTATCAATTTGCAATTTAGTTCTTTTCAAAAATTATAATTTTAAAGTACTATTTTTTCTTAATTTTATCTGTATTTAACAAAAAAAATAATATCTCAGTGTTGAAATATATACGTAAATAAATTTTTTCACTGAAAAAATGCAATAGCATAGGGTAAAAAACAGTATATTTAATGCATAGTTTGTTTATAACAAAATATGTGATTCTGACTTTTTTTTTAAAGAAGCGTCTTTCCGGTACTTTAAAATTATAATTTTTGAAAAAACTAAATTGCAAATTGATAAATTTTTTAAATTGTTTAATATAATTAATTGTTTAAAAATAAAAAAAGAGTTTTAACTTTAAAAATTTACTGTGGCCGACCTAATCAACAGATTTCAATTTTTCAAAAACCATTTGAAAGGTTGAGTGGTCTTTTCTATACGAAAATTTTTTCAAGTATCTAGATGCTTTATTTGGGGCTGTGCAACATTTTGAAAATTCGAAAAATTTTTTTTTTAATTTTTTCAAAATTTTGCGAAAACTATCGAACCAATTTTAAGGAAATTTGGAGTATTGTTTTATTATACTCTAAAGTTTTAGAATGCCCTTGAAGCAATGAAAATATTAAAAAAAAATATCCAAAAAACTTGATTATTTTGCCTTTTTTTCATCAATTATTGTAATTTTGAAACATCGGTAATAATTTTAAACATTTTTAACTTCCAGTATACTATGCAAAATTCAATTCAAAAACTTTTTTTCCTCTTCAATATTCTTCCAAAATGCATAGGTTCCAGGATATAAGTAAAAAACTCAGATAAAATAGGTATTTTTAAAAAATTTTTAAATATTTTAGTAATTTTGAAAATGTTCCGGTCCTCGCCCAGATCTAGGGATCTACACATTTATTATGTCAGTTCTACTGAAGGTAGAAGGTATCCAGAAAAAAATTGTGTGTTCTACAAATTCGATAAATTCATTTTTTTTTACCAATAGAATTTCTAAGAAACGTACCTTCTTGAAACGTATGGTTTGATGAAATCCCATATACAGTGTTTACAGTCTAAAATAAATATGAATGAATCAATGGAAAATGTATTTTTTCAGTTTCAGACTGTAGTTGTTTATTTAAGTAAATAATGAGGCGTTACTCGTATTTTTATTAATAAAAACCACTAAGAATCTACAAGTGCTGCTCATCTGAAAACTATTTAATGTACTAAAGCTTACTTAGTGAAATTAATTTTAACTTTCGTTTTTTTTCTATGGCAACTGCTTTATTTAACCAGATTTGTTTCAGAATCGTAAACATAAAAGAAAATGGTTGGCGTGACATTTGGATGTTAATTTTATTTAGGTACGTCAGCGTAAAAAATCTAATACTCAGATATTTTACATTTACAACATCAAATATGTTTTTTACCACGTCCCATTTCTTACAGCGCCCTATACAAATAAAAATAAAGAGAAAATTCTAAACAAATACTTACGGCAAGCTTGAAATTCATCTTCACCCTTCTCACAGTCCTTCTGGTAATTGCAGACCCAAAGCGAAGGGATACACTTTCCCTCGGGACATCGAAACATTCCTAAGTCACATATCACGCCAGAGGGATCACCTGCAAATTGAATACGTTTTTACACTCCATTTTTCACAAAATTTGGTTTCTTTAGACGCCACAGAATATAACTCTATTACTCTTACGCCTAAATTGATGCTGTTGTGTTTGCTCAAGGCAATAAAAAATAAAATTCCATTACCGGGTTTCATGGATACAACATGGATACAAGACAGGGTGAACCCGTTTTAAATTTACCGAATACAGCCATCCGCAACATTCAAATGGGAGAGAAGAGCAAACTGTTACAATACTAATTGAAGTCTTTTTAGCCATTCGAATGTGTTTGACCTTAAACCTGTTTTGTTACGAATTTGATTGTGCCTTGTTAGTCCAGTCAATTGTCTACCAATTTTTTCGGATGAAATGGATTGACGTGAAATTTGAACTGTAGCTAGGGAATAGCCCAAGAAACAATAAAACAAATATAGTGCCGATGAGTACTTTTACCCTAGATGCCACCCCCTCTGGGGGTGGCATCTTTTTTTATTAAAACGATTCGATAGAGGGACAAATTCTAAGCAAAAAATGTTCTATAAGTATTTTTTGTACAGTCAATACTTTTTGAGTTATTTGCGCCTAAACTTGTTCGTTTTTAGCCCAAAAAATGCATGTTTTTGAGCCACTTTTCGCGAATATCTCAAAAACTACAAGTTTTATCAAAAAAATAATCATAAGCAAAAATTAAGTTAATTAAATAGCAAAAAGATTGCTTTTTTTAATTTTTGTAGGTGGTATATAACCCGGTTATGACTCCCAGAAGTTGAAGTCAATTTCGAAGATAGCTGTAATTGAAACGTTCAACGTCCTGTAGCGGAAAAATTAAAGGTTTTTCGAGGAATACTTATATAACACTTATTAAAGTTCTTGAAAGGACCTTTAAATTGAGTGGTGGTAAAAGTCGTTAGCATGAAAACTAATGAAGTTACAATCAAAATAAAGTGATTGTCTTGATTTTTGAGAAAAAAAAAATCGGTATTAAAATTAATGACTTGACGGAAAAAAGAATTAAACGTATTCCTTCTGCAATTTACTTTATTTATGTATTAACAGTAGATTCTGGGAATTTGAACGATTTTAGAAGCCTAAATTAAAAAAAAAATTAATTTACTTTTGAATAAAATTTTTCATTTTTTTAAAAATCGCCTTTTTTCAAAATATTTCAAAAACTAACAAAGTTATAAAAAAATGATAGAATAAGAAATTGTTTGTTTTTTCTTACTGAACAATTTGTTTTTTTTTTAATTTTTGTAGGATATTTGACTGGGTTATGATCGTTAGAAGCTCAATACTAAGCTCCAAGACTGCCTTTCCTGAACCCTTTTAGCTTACAAAATCTAAAAAACGAAGGGCTCGAAAAAACTGCAAATCACAGAACTTAAAGTGCTTTAAATTCCCTACAAAATGATTTTTTGAGTAAATTTATAACTTTAAAATTACAAAAGTTATGGTAAAAAAATGAATCGCATATTTTCGGTAAAATTTTCGGAGCGGGTAAATTACCATCATATTTATGTATTTTGGAGCACTTGTGAACTGATTTGAGTAAGTATTTTAATAATATTTATAATATTTGATATTAATTTAATAAAACAATATTAAAAATAAATTCAATAACATTAAAAAAAATAATTATATCATCATACCCACATACAATTTTTAGGAAATTTCTCTATAAGGGGTAGGTTTTTTTATGAGGGGTAGGTCTTCCATAAGGGTTTTTTGGGTGGCTGAAAAGTTGCAATATATCATAGATCATTTGAAAACCAATAAAAAGTTTATAATTCAACATTATGCATACCATTAAAACATCTCAAGCTTTCAATTATATTTTTTTGTTTATTTTATTATAAGGAACGGTTTTTAAGGGTTGCAACTTTGTAATGATCGTAAGCAATACATTGTGAATGCACCAAAATAATATTTTAAACTTAAAAACTTTTTTTTGGCCCTGGAAGGGTAGTTCTAAGGATTTTTAAGAGTTGAAAAGTAATTAAATTTCATAAATTATATTAAAAAACATGAAAGGAACTTTATCCAACATATTTCAACATGAATTGAATCTTTAAAATACGTAAATCTGCGATTTTCGCATTTTTTTCGTACAAGAGTAGTTTTCACCCCCAAATATAAAAAAGCACACATCTAGACAATATCACTTTTGAAGTGGAGGGTCAGATGAGCTTGTATGCAAATTTTCAGGAAAATCCATGTTATTTGAAAAAATTGGGAGGTTTTACCTTATTTTCGCCTTCAGTGATAGGACTATGTTTCATATTACTCGAAGGTCAATATTACAAAGAAAATAAATATATCGTATTAAAATTCAGATATTCTTCTTACATCGTACTTAATTAGTTTTTAAATGAATTTTCTAAAAGTTTATAAAGAATGCAAATATAACCCCTTTGAATACGAGGGAGTACGAGGGACAAGTTTAATTGTAACAACTTGCCCTTCATACTATTTACTTAAAAAAATGGTATAACACCGACAAACCTTTAGGACTTATACTTCTCATCAAAACAAAAAAATAGCAAAAATATTTCTTTCCTAAAACGATTTCTAAGGATTCTACGATGTAAAACTTAGTTTTTGCTCATTTACTTAAGAAACAGTGAAGATATAGATTTTAACATTTTAAAACTAAGTAATGATGTAGGAAATTAAAAGGCGTTCGAGGAATTGGTCAGTTAAACCCACCAGACAAATACTGGTTTCGAACTCTCGCCTATATTCACTTCATGTCTGTAATGTAAGGGTTAATAAGTTCGAAACTGATATAAGTCTGGTAGAATCGACTAATGAATGATTCCTATGACTACTGACCAGATATTGGGGGTATAATTCAATGCTATTGACTAGCAGTGACCATTCTCACCTAAATCATGGCTTTTAATTAATAATGTAAAATAAGTGGCAGAAATAAATTAAGTACTAAAATGTTAATAATTAACCTCCTTCTCCCCTGCTTATTGCTTCATTTGCTAACTTAAATACAGACATACTGAAATAAGTTTGCGACTCTAGAACTGCGCGAGAATGAGAAAGATCGCAATCGGCTAAAAGGAATAAAACGCAACAATGTGGGATAGGAGCGTTTGCCTTGCGCAATTGTGGGCGGAACTACCTCAGATGCAAACTTATTTGTGTAGGTCTATATTTTAATTAAATGTAGCAAGGGCGTAGTATTTAAATATTATTGAGATGCCACTTCAAAACTACGCATTCACGTAACCTTTTTGATAGCAGAATCCTGAAAATCTTAGATATAACTAGATTTTTATTTAATTATGCATTTTTTACTATTAACTTTGTACTTTTACTAATTGATAACAAATATTTAGTTGTTAAACAACTTCATCTACAACCAGTAAAAAATTTTCTTAAAATAAGAAATGCTCTGTCCAAAACTAACAAGGGACAATTCAAAACTGACATGAATAATTTAATAATTTTAAGCTAAGATGCATTAACTAATATTTGTCCTTTAATTTAGAGATTGTTTTTTAAGTAGTCTAAAAAAATAGAATCAATGTAAGGTCCTTTGAAAAAATAATCATAAGAAATGTATTAATAATGATTGTATTGTTGTGGTTGAATTTCGTGTTGATATTTGTCTTAAGTGGGCAGTCATAGCTAGTAAGAACAATAGGTGTCTTTGACGTTTTGAAATATCATTTAATGATTACAATATACATGCACTTACAGAAAAATAATAAAACCTCTCAGTTTACAATAAATATGGAGCAAGTGTATTTTTATTAAAATGATAAAACTTTTTAATTATTTAATAATTTAATAATACTTCAAAGAAAGTATTCATTTAATCTTCAATATTTATCCCATTCCCTTTAAAGTAATCCCCCTGTGATGCTATACACGTGTGCCAACGTACACTGTAAAAAAAATTCACTCAACTTCACTCAATTTTACTCAATTTCTGTCCACATGCGATTGAGATAAATATTCACTCTATTAGTATGAATACAACTAAAATTTTATGAGTTAAACTATTGCAATAGAAGTGAGTGACTTTTCACTCTATTCTGAGTATGTAAAATCAATCAACAGTTGACTTTTTCTCGAAATTTAACTATTATTGAGTAATTTTTTATATAACCTATATTATACGCTACAGATACACTAAGTAAGTATAGATAACAATTTAACTATACATTTATTTAACCAAATATTAATCGAGACTCAATTGTTTTTAATTATTGTAATCAAACCATTGCATTTAAACATAAATTTCACCAAAATAATCGAATTAACGGACATTTGTCCAGCACTACATGCCATACATCACGCCACGAGATGACCTAATGGGGACGATGGGAATAGACAAAGACAACGCACGACAACCATAGAATGGGGTGGAGTCATTCAATAATGAGGACATTTACTCCTATTTAGCTACAAGTGTACCAAATGCGCGTTTATCTGCAGAATTTATTTAACGGGTACCTATATTTCAGTGAAAGTATTCAGTTTTAGTTCAAATATCACAAATGAGTAAAATTATCAAAATGCTCAATGGATACGTAATGGATTCACTGAGCTTTCATTCACATCGATATTTTTACAGTGTATTATAAACATTAAATCAAAATTTAAATAGAAACCCAGTATTTTTTGCATATTGTTGTAAATAAGTAGATCTATTAATTCCAAACAATATATTTTACACTTTTAGCACTCTACCTTGCTAAATTTAGATCAATTTTCTTAATTGAAGAATGTTATTCCAAAAGAAAGTCATAATTATCAAATATTCGATTATACCAGCCAATTATAACTAAAAATAACTGTAAAACTAATCTGGATTAATTTTGTTCAAATATGCTTATATCATCTCAGTTTTGTTATTACAGATTACAGATAGAATATTCTACACTGTAAAAATCCCTCAAATTTCACTCAATTTTACTCAATAATGTACCAATTTCTACCCACACCCAATTAAGTAAAATTTTCACTATTAGTATGAATACAAC